TCTCTCTCTCTCTCTCTCTCTCTCTCTCTCTCTCTCTCTCTCTCTCTCTCTCTCTCTCTCTCTCTCCCTCTCTCTCTGTATATATATATATATATATATATTTATATATATATATATATATATATATATATATATATATATATATATATATATATATATATATATATATAAAATTGTGTTGAGTTATACTGACATGAAACACTTTTATATTCCCTATAACTGAATTCATGTGAAGCACAGAAAAAGTTTTTGTTTGTTCGTGGATGTCTTGTTGAGTTGCTGTGTATATTCCATTATAGTCAGTTGATGCAAAATAGCATCGTTTACAGGAGTTTGTTTAAAGTGAACTCTTTTGTATTTCATATCTTGGAGCTAGAACTATTAAAGATTGCACCTCAAGCATGGGTAATTATATGAGTCACAATTTCCCTTTTTACGTTTTCCCCTACAGTTGGCAATATTACAGTGCAGCCAAAGGTTAGCTCAAGGGGCACTTCCTGGATAGACTTCATCTGGACGACGGGCACAGCACTTGTAGATAACTACCAGGTCGTCACTCAGTCCGATCCACAGTCTTGCTTACAAGCACAGGACAGCAAAACTGTGCCTGGGACCTCCACTGGTGTTTCAATTATAGGGCTCAAACCTGGGGTGAAATATTTGTCCACTCTTACCCTGGTACTCTTCTCAACAGCTGACTATCCACAGAGATCAAAAGTTGTCAATTTACCTGATGCCTGGACAAGTACGTTATTGTTAAGTTTGCTTTTTGAGATAGTGAAGAGTTCCTTGTAATCAAATAGAAAGTTTTCCCTGCGATACAGGAGAGAATATATTATGTTCTGTGTCTTAAAGTAGTTCAAATCTGGGAGAAAGGAATGGTGAATACAACTCAATGTAAGACTGTTAAAGAAGGATGAGTAAACATTTGGATTCGGACAAGTTTTCTTGAATAATTAATTTATGGTGGATGGTTGGTGTTTGCTCTTGTGAGGTTTGCTCTTTCTTTCCTATCAAGCATGCATTGTCCTTATATTTCCTTTTTCTTTTCTCTGTATGTTACTCTCTAGTAATATATATATATATATGACATATTGTGTATAGTTCAATGAGTCAAAGCTCACCCACTCAAAGGTTACTGGGTTAACAAGAACAACAAGTAACAACAGGTCACATGATACAAATGTTACATATTTATTTGAATAGTAACTACAGGTCACATGATACAAATGTTACATATTTATTTGAATAGTAACTACAGGTCACATGATACAAATGTTACATATTTATTTGAATAGTAACTACAGGTCACATGATACGTAATGTCACACAAGTTATGTATTTATTTAATTAGTAACAACAGGTCACATAATGCCACACATAGTACATATTTATTTAATTAGTAGCAACAGGTCACATGACACATAATGTCACTCTGCTGTAATGGATTTCATGTTTTGTTCAAGGACATGCCCCTTGTGACCACCTGTTTAGCAGTGTTGTTTCAGACAGTTCTCTATATTATTAGTTTTGTTTTTCTGTTGTAGTTTATTTTATTTTGGAAGTCAGACACCAACTTTGTGTGTTGTTAGTCCTTTCTGGTGGGTGGTTGGTATGTGCTCTGGTGTGATTTGTTCCTTCTTTCCTATCAAATATCTATCGTCCTTATCTCTCCTCCTTCTTTTATTTATACGTTACTATCTAGTAACGCCTCTAATCTTCGGCACTTATAGACCTAACTGTGTTGTAGGTGCCTTAAAACTCGTAAGTAAACTAAAGATATTTAGTTTCTGTAACTCTTTGACAGTGTGTTGAGTCAGAATCTTGCACGGATTTACAAACGGTAGTGTTGGAGGCTTGTTCACCTTGTTGCTCTATTGCCATCATTCGTGGCGTTGTCAAAGATGTTTGGGGCAGTGCTGCCAACTCTTAAATTTCTGAAGCATTTTTCAATGTCCAGTTTACAGATAATTAATATGCATATATATGTATATATATATATATATATATATATATATATATATATATATATATATATATATATATATATATATATATATATATATATATATATATAATTTGTTCCCTTAGATGTAAAAGACATACTTTTTTGTGAGCCTCAAATTCAATTTCTTTCAGTGGACTAGGAGAACAGAATCTGAGTCTCAATCAACACTTCCACTGCACTTAGCTTCAGACGATTGTGGTATTTCATTGAGAAAAAAACATTGCAAGAGAGTAATAAGAAAAAGAAAAGGAATCGCATCTGTATGGCACAAATTCCTCATCACCAGCAAGCTCTATACACTTTACAATCTATCCTGGTATTCTCGATGTCATTCTAAAAAACAATGTCAACTTCTAGTTGGTTGTCAGAGTGCTTCATGTATACATGTTGACATCTGGCCTGTGATAGTTGTGACATATGCAGGGGCGGTTTGTTAACTGGACAAGACCGGCGGTGCCGGTCAGATTTTGTCAACTGAACTGTTGACTAGAGGTTTATTGCTGATGACGATTTTCATTCAGTTTTAAGTAAATCCAAACAAACATGTATCAACATTCAAAAACACCTTGCCTATTTGAAGGCGCTTAAATAGACAAGTGGGATTCACTGCTGTTTTGTCGCGACATAACCTCATTCCTTCACGTTTGTTATCGCGCCGGCTCGTAACTTTAAATCGTCTCCCGTCAAACCGTCACGTCGCGGAACTTCGTACTACGTGCATGGCCAAACACACGGCGGTGGACAAATCCATCGTCAGCCCACAGAAAGATTAGAATATCCCTTAATTGCCAGATTGGCCTCTTTGTAGCTTACAAAATTAAGAATGAGACTGTCTTGAGCAGCACAGACACATGTATTATTTTACCAGCAAAACATTTATTTATCATTCAGCCTTTCTCTAACTACTATCAGACATTTATTGTCAACATGGCACTACTCTTTTTTGTTTATTGACTTTTTAACCACCTGTAGTTCCTGTTTGGCATTTACTTATCGTTTTCTCCCCTCTAATAACTTACCTGGCCCTTAGGAGTCTGGCTGGCGAAAGAAGGAATCGTCTAGTGAAGATATATAAGGAAAATTTTAACGAGGAGCGATAGACACTCGGCTCTCAGAGTCTGGGCGAAAACCCCCTCCCTTCCCTCCCCTTTTCAACCCTCACCCCAGCTAGACACCAAGTTCTATAATTAGCATTTGACACACTTCCCCACTTTGTTACAACACAGTGTTCAGTGTTCAGTTCTGAGAACTGAGAAGTGCGATGAAGTACATTTGATGATATAATGATCGGAAACGTGTGTGCTTTGTCCAGCTTTGTATAGCATCTGGTTGTAGACTTGATCTGCTTGGGACAGCGTCACTGGTACAGTAGCAATTGACTTTTTATCATCATACAGGACAGTTCTTATTACATATATTTAACGGGTTCAGTGCACGTCGATATTTTGTGTGCGGGTGTAGAAAGTACGAGTAAAGTACTGAACTGGAGGCCAGGACCAGCGGTTTATTGCTTCTCACTTTCTGTTTGTTTTCTAGCTTAGACTCAAGTAGTGTGTTTCTTTTTCTGTGCCGATCAAGTAAGTTTCTATTAATCTCAGTAACTTCCATCTTACATTATTCATAATATTGTTTCTTGACGCTACCGCATATTCTAGCTCTTTCACATTATTACAATGTTTACTGTGGTGTGTGTGTGTGTGTGAGTGGGGGAGGGGGTGGGGATGGCGAAAGTAGGGGTATAGAATAAGGAGAGAGAGAGAGAGAGAGAGAGAGAGAGAGAGAGAGAGAGAGAGAGAGAGAGAGAGAGAGAGAGAGAGAGAGAGCATGTGTGTGTGTGCGTGCGTGTGTGTGTGTGTGTGTGTGTGTGTGTGTGTGTGTGTGTGTGTGTGTGTGTTGTGAAGGAAGGGGGTGGGGGAGGGAAAAATAGTCGACGTGAATGACCGCCGGCCAGTTCTATAAACCACGAGCCGCCACTGGACATATATGGATATTTATGTGGGCACCAAGCTCTAGTATTCATTCACCTGTGTCAAAAACACGTCAAGTCTCAGTGCTCTCTGGTAAACACAACACTCATGGGAAAGATATTGATGAGGATATAGTTTGGGAAAAATGGAGACTGAAATAGTTGTCTTAACACCTCTTGATGATATCCCAGTTTGTCATGTTTTGAAAAAAGTCAGAAATGTTCACAATGCTGTTGCTCTAGTATGTCGTTTGTGACACAGGTAACGTTTTTGTTCTGTGGTACGTGTAAATGGAAGTTGTGTTGTCTTGACACCTTGTGACGTGTCTGTTTTCAGAGCCTGCCCCGCCTAGAGCAGTGATTCCTGGAAGCAGTACCCTCTCAGTGCCGCGTACTGTCCTCAAGTTTGGACCTCCTGATGGCTGTGTCGCTTATTATTACGTGATAGTGATAAGGCAACATACACTACTTAAAGGCAAAAGAATGACTAGCGAGACACTGGTCATTGACAATCTGACTGAACATACTTCCTATGTCTATAGCATTGCAGCCTACAATGGTGACAATGATATAAGTGTCCAAATGACAAGAAATTTTACAACAGCAGCTACAGGTAAGTCATGCTGTTTATGTGTGTTTTTGTTATGTTGTACACTTTGTTGAGACAAAAAGGAGGCCAATAATTATTTTCTAGTTTCTGAAACAATCTCGACAACAATATACTTGCTCCTGGGGGTGGACACTAATTTTCATCGGTACCTCCTGATGGAGAATTCTAAAAGAAAGGGAAGTGTATTGCCTCTAAGAAAAAAACCCTTAGGACTGTTGTATGTCTGGAACTGCCATACCTTTTCCTGAATGCTTCAATCACACCAAAGTAAAGCGGTGGTTCTTTTTTCCGAAAACCACCAAAACCTGTCGAAACCTACCGTAGATATTCGCACATCGCCGCTTCTGGGTAAGCCCGATCGTTCCCGAAATAGCGTCGGGCCAGCGATGCCGATTTCCGAGAGAGAGAGAGATAGAGAGAGAGAGAGAGAGAGAGAGAGAGAGAGAGAGAGAGAGAGAGAGAGAGTGTGTGTGTGTGTGTGTGTGTGTGTTTGGGGATTGCGTAAAGACTTTTTCCTCGGTAGGAGATAGGGAGCGAGAGGGAACGGGATTTTTGGCGGAGAGAAAGAGGTCGAGGAGAGACGAGAGAAGTTTTTCCTGAGAGCATACACTCGATACATACCTCACATTGTATACAGCGAGTGTCCTCGGTTTCAACGATGCAGATCCCACAGGGATAGGCGACCGTCTTTTGCCAAGGTTCAGCATTACGGACAATGTAGCCATTTTTTATTTTTTAAAATTATTATTTATTTTTGTAACACATTTGATTTGCATTCTGCTATGTGTTCCAGAAACATTTTTTACGTGTTTAATAAACATTTTGCACTTTGTTTTTCTAAGTGTGGGTTGGGTTGTTTTTTTTTTGGGGGGGGGAGGGGGGGTTCTTTTCTTGATTTCTTTATTTACCTTTTCCTCAACTATTCAGAGTTAATGTCCCGCATAACTCTCTCTCTCTCTCTCTCTGTCTCTCTCACTGTCTCTCTCTCAATGTCTCTCTCTCACTATCTCTCTCTCTCTCTCTCTCTCTCTCTCTCTCTCTCTCTCTCTCTCTCTCTCTCTCATAAAGCCTCTTTCCCTTATTCTCTATCTCTCTCTGTCTCAACTTGGATTTACTTGGATTTACTTGGATCCAGAGCTAGAATCATAGCAGGCGGCTCATGTCCATAGCTGCTCATCTCACCTTTCCAGCGTCCACCTCAGGGTCTTCCTCCTAATTGTCTCCATTAGGAGCTGGTTTGAGACACGCCTGACCATTCCTTGGAGCAAACTCTGTCTCAACTATTCAGAGTTAATGCCCACCTTAACTCTCTCTCACTGCCTATCTTAATATGAGATGATAAGTGCTATCTAATCCTAGATTCTACTCGTTAGTCTATCTACGTTGGTTTCAATACTCACTGTTTCGAGCGGGGAACGATATGTGTGGGTCGTACAGGTCCGGAGCTCCATCCACCGCGTCGACCCACCAGTAGCGTCGATCCCTGCTCAGCCTAGATTTAAGTCGTGGCTCGGAAGGCCGGTTCAACCTTCACGTCTGTTTATATACCCCCCGTGCTGCCTTATTCTCCTACACTCACTAGGCTACACTGAGTTCGTTCACTTATTTCACGTGATTCTGGCTTGTCACAGCGAATTACAAACTCTATATATTATTATCTCCTTCTCTCTTATAAATGTTATCTCTCTCTCTCTCTCTCTCTCTCTCTCTCTCTCTCTCTCTCTCTTACAAACATTCTCTGTCTCCATCTCTTCTCTCTCTCTCTTATAAAGCATTTCTCTCTTTAGCCTTGATCCTTTATAGAATATCACAGTTTCGATAGGTTTCGGTAGGTTACGGCAGATTTCGGCAGGTTTCGGTAAATTTCGGAAGATTTCGGCAGGTTTCGGTAGGTTTCTGAAAAAAAAAGCACCCGATTTTCGGCAGGTTTCGGCAGGCTACGGTAGGTTTTGTCAGGTTTCGGAAAAAAGAAGCGCCCAGCAAAAAGCTCAAGAAAGACTTTTTAAAATATATGCAAATGAAAAATTCAGTTTTGAAAGTTATCACCACACACCATGTGATGGGTTTTCTCAGAGCCACATGCAGATAGAGTGAGTTGAGATTTGTGCAAAAAATGCAGAGCTTAAATTTTTATTTCATTCAGTAAATCAAATTTCTGATAGAATTGTTAAATATATTTTATCATTGTACTGAAAGACTTCTATTTTCTTTCATCCTTTGTGAATGTACCTGACCATACCACTTTTCCTCCGCATGTTTTTTGCTTTACTTGTCTCCATACAAAATGGAATACTGAGATAAATAGAGTCGAACCAGCTCTAACGGCTACCTGTATAAGACAATCACCTGTACAAACAGCCTCTTTCCACTCACCCACAACCCCCTTGTGTTTTTGTGTTTTTGGTTAGTACAATGACACGGTGTAAGACGTCCACCTGTCTCAGACAACCATTTTTCTCCTCGACGATGGGTGGCCGTCTTCGACAATCTCCACTGTAGTTTTAGTTGCTTGAAGAAGCACAAAAAGAATGTATTCAAAAGCGTATTCACAGCATGCTTTAAGCTGTCTTACCTTTGTCTTGTTCACAGCACCAGGTTCTGTAGATGCTTTAAGCTATCAGCATTCTTCAGTCACTGCTACTGGCGTTGTGGTGAGCTGGGGAAGGCCGTCACAACCTAACGGCGATCTAAAAGGATACAAAGTTTGGGTGACAACAGGCGGGCAGTGCGTTAAACAATTCCGTGTGCAGTGTCCGGACTGTGATGTGAGTTTGATGGTTTTGATTCTTACAATACATTACTTGTGTGCGTCTGTTTTTAATTGTGTTTATGTAGAGCTTTTCTTTTGGGGCTCATGTCTACAGAGAGAACCCTCAAATCTTAAGAGTACGACTTTAATTAATTCTTTTAGAATTAAGAAAAGAATGCTCCTATGGATATCTTTGATTCTCTTCCATAATTTTTAGGTTTGGAGAGGGGGGTGGGATGGGGGCAGGTCCTTAAATGTTTTTAATGCTTCGTGTATTTTTCAATTGGACTTGAAAACTTTTGCTCAAATATTTATCAAGCATCCATTCGCTCATGTTCTGTAGGACATAGTTGGTGGATGCTCTTGTGTGGTTTGCTCCCTCTTTCCTTTCAAACATCTATTGTTCTTATCTCTCCTTCTTCCTTTTTGTGTTTGTTACTCTCTTGTACCACCTCTATCTTCGGCATTTATATGACCTTTTTGTGTCGCAAAAGCCGTAAAACTTTTACTAAAACTACAATAAGCATGTGTTCTGTGAGTAGACTGTAAGGTTATGCTGGTATTGCCATCAGGCTTACTATATACCACTTTCCCACAACAGCTTTATCACCAGTGTACTTGTTTGTCCATGTGATTATCTGGCAGGGGGGAGGGGGGAACCAACACTTCTGGTGTAAAGGATACAATGGAACCTGTTCAAGGCGGAATCTCAAGGAAGCCAGAAAAAGAATTCTGTCATCGACATTTTTCATCTTGGACAGGGAAAATTAAGGGGAAGGGAAACAGGAGGGAGGGGGTTGGGGGGGGGGGTCACAGAGGTCCAGCTCGTACATAGATTGTAGTTTGGGTAAGGGTCATCTGTCCAGTCAGCAAGCAGTAGTCAAAACTTTACATCTCCCAAGTGCTATCTTTGCCTCTCTGATAATGAAACGCATCCGTTACTTTTCCATTGCCACCAGTGCTTGTTTCTCATGTAGTATCGGTAGTCTAGTGGTTAGGCTACCGGGCTCGTAATCGTGAGGTAGTAGTGACAGGTTTCCGTTAAGGAAGGTTAGACTGCGTGTATAATACACACACACACACACACACACACAAACAGACACACACACAGACACACACATACACATACGCACACAAACACATACATACATGCATACACACATACACACATACCCACACACATACACACACATACACACATACACACAGACACATACAAACACAGACACACACACTTACACACACACATACACATACACACACAGACACACACATACACACACACAAACGAATACACACAGATACATACACACATATACACACACATACTCACACACATACACACTCATACACACACTCATACACACACACACACACACACACACACACACACACACGCACACACACACACATACGCACACACACATGCACGCACGCTCACATGCGCGCGAACACACACACACACAGAAAGAGAGAGAGAGAGAGAGAGAGAGAGAGAGAGACGGAGAGAGAGAGAGAGAGAGAGAGAGAGAGAGAGAGAGAGAGAGAGAGAGAGAAAGAGAGAGAGAGAGACTCTTCCAATCGTTTATTTTATGTTTTGAGATCAAATCATTTCAAATTGATCTCGTTAGCTGATTCTTGATTATCTTCCCTCCTGTTTCAGGTTTCTGAGTGTCAACCCCCAGTGCATTCATCTCCTGTGAGTCAATATCACAGTACAGATCTTGGTGTTTACCAAGGGTCCTTTGAGGTGTCAGTGACAGACTTGCTCCCGTACACAGACTACATTGTACTTGTCCGTGCTTATAATTCAGAGGCTGGTGGTGGTGCCAACAAAGAGGTATACTTCAAGACAAGCCAAGCTGGTAAGACATGCATACGTGACCATGTGTTTTAACTTTTTTCACTAGCCCAATTTATTCATTTTCTTGAAAAGAGAAGTTTCTTTTATAAACTTGTTTTTGTCTGTATTTTCTTTTCAATTAAAAAAGAATTGAATGCCATTACGAGCTGAATTCGTAGTAATGTCCAGAAAAAAGAATAGTCAGTGCTGTGATAACTTAAAATGTATGTTTGCTTTGAACAATCTGTAGGCTATAGCCTACTTAGATTAACGCTTTACTGATGCCAGAATAGATGATCTCGGGGCGTTGGGGGGGGGGGGGGGGCACCACAAGCTGTGCTACTGTCAAGGGAGTTTTATAGATATATTTGGCTGGGTACAAGAAAGCTTTACACAGGTGACTATTTTATGCAAAAATGTAACCTCTTTAGCTCTGTCCGGAACAGTCACTGTGAACACAGTTCGAATCTGTCGAAACTTTTTGCTTGGTTCTATATTGTCAGTCCTCTGTGAAAAAAGCAGCAAAGTGGCTGCGCAAGAAAAGTTTGTCTCAGCAGTTTTAGAGCACAAATTTGTGGGTTGAGATGACGCTGTCAACATGTGAACGGTTACTCCTCAGAATTGTTTTGTTTATAGTAGTGTCCTTGTTGATTTTCTTTCCATGATAACGTATGTAAAGTCCTTAGGTCCATGTGAAAATAATTAATTCATGTAGTCCCATTTGGTAGACGTATTCGATAATATCGTCATCGATACCGTCGATAAAATCTGGCGCAAATTTCTGTACCCCCATTTTGACTGTGTTCTTTGGAATGACAGCAATTTATAAAAAAAAGCTTCATACCTGCTGTGGGCACGTTTACATAAATGTTACTGCCCCACTCTAAGTTTATGACTCAAATTTCTGTACCCCCATTGTGACTGTGTGTCTGTGTGTTGTTTGCACTCATGAAAACATCCTCATAAAACATTTTTGATGTAAGAAATGGCAGACATTTATACAACAGCTTCAATAAGCTGTTGACTCATTTACATAAATGTTACTCTCCAGCTCTAAGTTCCTGACACAAAGTAGGCCCACATTCTCCCTGTCTCCCGTTTGCTTTGTTTCATGTATGTTACACCATGCTAGATAGAACTAACATATTCCTTTGAAAGAGTTTTAATTCTACTAAAAAAGTCTTACATTATTTTTCAATATGCATGGTACTGTTTTTGGGGTTGTTTTTTCTAATCTTTCTTTCACCTTTCTATTCCTTCATCGGGATAGAACGAGGGTAATTTTACGTTAATGTTTGCATATTTTTAAGCCTTTAATATCTGTTGTTGGTGGGTGTTTTTTACCCACAGGTTGTTTTAAATGCCAATGGCAATGTAATAGATTTCTTAAAATCTTTTGAGTCAAGCAATGCTAATTTAAGTCACTTCAATTAATGAGTATACTGATGGTGTTACCATACTTTTTTGTCTTTCTCGTCTTAGCCGCAAGCCCTGTGACAAAAGTTGAACTGGAAAGTCTCCCCTTGACCCCTCAGGGAAGGCTGGACCTGAGTGTTAGCTGGGTCCCAGGTTATCGGAACGGGGAAACTAACTTCACTGTTGTGATCAAGGAAAAAGAAAATCTCACCTCAGGAAACTTTATTGAGAAACAAACCCGCACGTTTAGAGGTAGAAAATAGTTTGTTTTGGGTTAGTTTTTTCCTTGGTTTCATTTTTGGCTTAATGACGTGTATACTTTGTTCACGTTGTTGTTGTTGTTGTTGTTGTTGTTGTTGTTGTTGTTGTTGTTGTTGTTGTTGTTGTTGTTGTTGTTGTTGTTTCAGTGATGTGTATACTTTGGGCCGTACTGTCCGTATTGCTGTTATTCGTTCAGTAACTTGTACCCTTTGTGCCTTTAGTCTGTGGGTGGTTAGCGGGTGCTCTGGTGTGGTTTGCTCCTTCTTTCCTATCAAACATCAATCGTCCTTATCTCTCCTTCTTTTTTGTGTACGTTACTCTCTTGCAACACATCTATTCTTCAGCACTCATATAACTTTATTGTGTTGCAAATGCCGTAAAACTCTTACTAAAACTAAATAGTACTCTTCAAGACTAAAGGCTGTGAGTTATAGATCTATAATGTACTATATTGTTTTCTTTCTGTTGGTCAGCATATTTCTCTGAGATAGGCTTAAACCCCCCCCCCCCCCCCCCCCCCCCCCCCCCATAAACTGGCATTACATTTGACAGGCAAATATGAGGGTTAAGTTGGGAGCTGAGATTTGTACAAGTTAGACCTCACGTGATGTCATAATTTTGTTCATTTGACAGATACATCTGACATTACAGGTGTCCAGTTGAGATTCAGTACACGTCTGTCCTCAAGTAATGCCATAATTGTATTTCTTTTCACAGATACATCTGGCGTTACCTCTGACCTTCTGAAGAACGTGCTTGGCCACTGGGTCTATCAAGTGACCGTTGAAGCCAAAACCAACGTGGGTGATGCTGCTGTATCAATTCCACAGACCATTACAACATTATACAAACGTAAGTTGATGGGAAACTTGTACAACATTATACAAACGTAAGTTGATGGGAAACTTGTCAGGGAAGGTGGGACATTTTGTTCTTCGAAATATGGCATGGGTGCATGAATTAAATCTCATTTCCCTATCAGCGATCTTTGATAAGCCTTGTTGTTCTTACTTCCCCCAGACCCAGGACCTGTTACTGCTCTGACGTTGACAAAGAGTGCCCAGGTGGCCTCTGACGTTTCCCTGAGCTTTGGATGTCCCGAGGAAAGAGAAAGAAATGGCGTCATTATAGGCTTTTACATTTCAAAGTGGGACGGCGCTTTGGACCCAGTGAGTACATGTTATGTGTCACGACGCGGTGGAATCAGGCGCTCGTCATGTTTGGGGGGCATATGGAGATATTGGTATCACCCATAGATGGTATCACCTTAAAGATTGTTTACTTGTCTTTGCTTTTGAGGAAAAAAAAATGCCCATCTACCTCTCTCTCTCTCTCTCTCTCTCTCTCTCTCTCTCTCTCTCTCTCTCTCTCTCTCTCTCTCTCTCTCTCTCTCTCTCTCTCTCTCTCTCTCTCTCTCTCTCTCTCTCTTCTGGTGCTGTGGCTTCATAAACGGTCAGCGATGCCGACAGCACGCAGGAACTCAACACTCGCCCGGGTGTCCTTAAAAAGTGCTGAAAGTGGGTTAGTGAAATGTCCCAGCTGACGGGTTCTGGCACGAAAGGTGAGGGACATCTCGGGAACACATTGTCCATAGTTTCCTCCTCCTCCTTGCAGGCTCGACAGGACGAATCTGGGTTGTCTGCTGGCGCAATTTTGTGGAGATTTGATCTCAGCTTGGGCGATTTTCCACCAGTTCTCATTTGGTAGAGAAGCCGGCGGTCCTGTCGACTGAGCGAGGCCTCAAGCTGGTATGATGGCTGCTGGGCAAACGGTAGTTTGGGTTCCGCCTCTCTCTTCCACTTTGCGCGGGTCTATCAGTGGATGACGGCTTTAGAATCTGGGTAAGCGCTGTTGCTTCTTTGGCGATGCTGTCAACTTCGACGTTCCCAGCCAGTCCAGCGTGGCCAGGAATCCACAGTAAGTGGATGGAACATTCGGAGCGTTGACAGAGGGTGTGCAGATGCTGCCACATTGAGCACGCCACCTTTTCCGATTGGTTGGTAGGGCCGTATTAGAGGCGCATGGCTGCATACCTAGAATCAGTGTATACATGGATGCGTACACTGTTCGGAAGGCTGCCTGCTGTATGTAGTGTCACACGCATGTCCAGCGCTGTGTCGAGAGCTACAAGCTCGGCCCTGTGCTGGAACAATACCGGCCCGCGGGTACACGTTGGTCGAGTTCGGTATCACCGGTCTTGATCAGTATTCCATTGCCTCCATACTCGGTACCGTGCTTAGCTGAACCGTCAGTCCAGACTTCTACATCAGGCAGGGGGAGCGATCGAATTGTAGCCTCTGCTTCTGCTTTCCTGTCGGCTGGTTCTTTAGCACGTCGACGACAAGATCGGTGCTAAAAGTCACGTTGCATGATGCAGCCTTCCACGGTTGTGTGGGGGGTAAAACAACCAGCTCCTTACGTGAGTACGTATCCAGTTCAGTTTCGGCGACGAGGTTCTGGGCATGCTTTCCCCAGTTCAACTTGCCTGTCCGCGTGGGCACTGATTTTGTTGCAGACGCTCTGTGTTGGTTCGTTGCAGGCAGACGCATGGACTTCTCGAGTGAGATGGCAGTCAAGGCCTCAGCTCTATGCCTTAGTGGTAAGATGTCTGCTTCGATGATGAGGCTGTCCACACGAGTATTCTTTGAGCAGCCTGTGATGATTCTTGCTGCTTCATTCTGCTTTCTTTCCAGTTTCTGTAGGTTGGAGGGTTTGGCAAGAGGCATGTGGGCAGGGGCACAATAGTCGATAGCTGACCAACAAGTAGCATAATTTATTGGCTTTTTGCATTCCCTTGAGGCACTCCAGGTGGTGCCTGTAAGGGCTTTCAATGGTCGAAGTCTGCTTGACAGTTTTAGCTCAAGGTTTTGGATGTGGGCGTTGGAGGATAGAGCACGATCACATGTGACCCCAAGTAAGGTGGGGTCGGAGTTGAAGGTGAAGGGGGAGCCTTTGAGCGAGAGTGCTGGTTTTCGCTTGGCCTCGTGAGTGCTGGTGGTGAAGAGGGTGCACTCTGTTTTCTTCGTACTGATCTCCATCTTGATTTTCTTTGCCCACTGCTCAAATGAGTTTATGGCAGCTTGGACCCTGTTTTTAGCCTGATTTATGTCTTCATTGGTGGCGTATATTGTATAGTCATCAGCATAGAGTCCCGTCTTCACGGATTCAGGCAGGCCTGCTTCAATATCATCAATGAAGACAAGGGACAGTGTGGGGGACAGGGATTGACGCAGGCGTATCTGTCTCTGAGGAACGAACCTTTCCATTGGGTGATGCGGCTGGGAGTAGATTTCTCAATCATCTTCTCCATTAACCTCGTGCGCGATACCTTGTCGAAGGCACGCGAGAAGTCCACGACGGCTAGCACAGTTCGTTGCATTTTGGGACGAGCCTGGAATCCATCTGAGATATGTTGCGTTAGGCATTGGACTTGGTCTTCAGTAGACGTAACTTGCGGAAGCCCGATTGATTTTTGCTCAGCAAGTTGTTGCTCTTCAGAAAGTACATCAGGCGGTTCTTGACGAGAGTCTCCTTCAGCTTAGCAAGGCAGCTGGTAAAACTGATAGGGCGGTGGGACCCAATCTTGCCTGTAGGCTTATTCTTCTTGGGTATCTGTATGATTTTGGCACGTCGCCAGCTGTTTCGGATAATGGCCATTTCTCATGAAAGGTTGAAAGCCGGAGCAGGGCAGAGGTTGCCATGGGTCCGAGGTGCTTGATCATCTCATTGGTTACACAAACAAGCCCGGGAGATTTGCCGTTTTTCAGCTTTCCTATACAAACTGTCAGTTCAGCCATCATGAGGAGAGAATCATAGCCTGTGTTCTGGTCAGTAGGAAGGAGTTTAAGCTTTTCATTAAGCTGGTAGTGCCGGTGTTTGTCTGCCTTGTCGAGTTTTAGGCGGCTGACTGAGGCGTATTCACAGCAAAAGGTTTCAGCCTTGCTTCTATCTCCTTTAAGGGTTTTATTGTTTACTGTGAGTGCACTGCCGGTGGAGGGGGTTTTCTTGCACGAGATGGCATTTATGACTCGGAAGACTTGTTGAGGGTCAGTCGAGAGGGACATCTCTGAAGTAAAGTGGCGCCAACAGTCGCGCTTCATCTCGTTTGGGGGGATGTGGTTCTTTTAGACGCCTCCTGGTACTTTTCAATGTCTTCTCGTGAATTGCACTTTTTCTTCTATCAGTTTGCCCGCTTCTTCATTCCAGAAGCACCCCCAGTGGGTCGGGGGATATAAATGGACCCATTGCTCCGACAGCAGGAGGTGCGACCCCTTCACTGGCGATTCGTCGCCCATGGACATCTACGCTCTGGTGCACATGGGCGACATTTGCTTTGGTGTATCGTCTGTCTTCTATCGTTTTTGTTCCTTCTTCTGCCATCCTTCCCCGAGCTGACCGGGAATAAAATAAAAGTAGTTGGCTGTCCCATCAATGGGGGGTGTATCCCCCCCCCCCCCGCTGGTGGAATGCCACTCGTACGTCACTAGCTCTCAGACGTAGGGGTGGCATCTTTTGTCCGTACTTGCTATGTCTTCTGTCGATCTATCTTTCTTTCCGATCTGTCGACCGAAGGTCCGGTCAAGCAACAAATCGACCCCAAATCCCCGCAATGCGGGGCGCCCTGTTGACCGTGGGGTGCGACCCGTACGACCGGAGAAGGGGACCCTGGTGGCTGAGGTGTGGCTTGTCCCACCAACACTCCACTTTGGCCCTGGATTCGGTCTAGACGGGCGGGTGCAGCGGCCTACTGCGCTCAATCGGTTGCGACCGGTTCATAGAACCGTTTTTTGGCCAATCTTGGTTGGAGGGCGAGGTTTCTTGCCGTCTGATTAGGAGTATACCTCCAGGGTAGCCCTGACACCAGCTATGGACTTCCGAGCGGTGTCCCCTGGTTGGGCTCGGTGGCGGGTGGGAAGCCCTGGAGATGAATAAAAACGTATTTTACATGGATATAAAAACACAAATTACTCCCCGTACCCCAATTCCCAACAAGTCACTGTCAGGAGGAGCGGGTGCGAATCCTGACCAGGGCAAGCGAAAAAGATTGAGAGAGGACGACAATGTCAGTATCTGGGACCTGCCAAGACAAACATTGCTAGGATGGTCACCTTATTTGGTGATCTACTCAGCTGATGAGTCACACAAAAAAATTACATCTTTAAGCGTCTTTGCCATTGGCAAAGCTTTCAGAGTCTGTGGCATCCCCAGACCCAATAAAGTCTCCCCCAGGGGTCTGGCGACCTCTTGGTGGAGGTTGCCAACGTGGCCGATTCCGTACAGTTACGGAAATGTACGTCGTTTGGCGGCATCCCTGTAAGTGTTGAGCCTCACAGGAGTCTCAATACTTCCAGGGGTGTTGTAAAGAGCCGTGACCTGGACGGCTGTACGGAGGAAGAAATGGTGCGAGAACTAGAAGACGCCACCAACGCTCGTCGTGTCATAGTGCGACGAGATGGGAAAGAGATCCGCACCAACACATGGATACTGTCTTTCGACTGTCCAAGACCTTCTACCAAATTGACAATAGAGTACTTGGAACTAGAGGTATAACCCTACATTCCTAACCCGATGCGTTGTTTTAATTGCCAGCGCTTCAGGCACACAAAATTAAGCTGCCGGCGAAATGCTGTTTGCCCTCGCTGTGGTAAGGAGGGTCACACAGAGGAATCCTGCACGTCAGTTCCTCCGTGCCCAAATTGCCAACAGGGAGGATATCTAGCATATTCAAAGGAATGTCCCAAGTATTCTCAAGAAAAGGCCATCCTAACCCACCGAGCGAAGTGCGGAGGCACTTTTGCCCAGGCTAAGGCAGCCGTCTTCTCGATGGGATTAGAATCAGCACCGAAAACATACGCAGACGCTGCCAAGGCAGGCCCCAAAACAGCTGACAATGAAAAAAACGTAAAATTCCTAAACCTCAAAACACCACGTGTGTCCAACAAAAAAAAAAAAAAAAAAAAAAAAACGCCACGACCCCAGGAGGAGGACATGGAGCTCTCCCTCCACTCATCCCCTCCAAAATCTCTCTCATCATCTTCACCCCCAACACCCTCACCATCTCCATCTTCATCCTCACAATCATCCTCATCCTCACCACCATCCTCATCCTCACCTACATCATCCTCACCCCCATCCTCATCCTCACCACGCTCATCTTCATCCCCACCGC